CGTTGGCTTTGTTTCCAGATGGATATCCTTCTTGATTATGTTGTGTATTGCTGCCTGGGGCACATTGATGACTTTTGATACTGACTGTTGTATTCATGGATTCTAAGCTATTACAAGATCCCACTCTCTATTTATGATGGTTGGTGTATGACTTTCTGGATAGTCTTGGTATTCCAAGTTGATTTATATTCCTTTGTTTTCATTAGAACAACAGTTTTCTTTTCTTGGAAATTCTAAATCCCTGATTTAAACATAACTTATGATCTGAGTGTATTAATATTTTATGTCAGAAAGAGCTGTTACATACCCTTCCCACAAGCAATCAATTTTTAGTGGCATCACCTTACCTATGAAATGTCGAATAATGTCAAAATGTAGTTCTGATATATTCTGTACCACTGTAACATCAGCTCTGCTGTCATTGTCATGTGACTTGCTGATTTGAATATTCAATATCATTTTAATATTACATATCAACCTTTTGTATATGACAAAAATCTTTTTCTCATACCTACAGTACATTATCAGAACAAGTACGTCTTTATATAGCAAAACCTTTTGGTCACACTTGCAGAACATTATATGAACAAAAATTCTGCACTATACACAGATGAGGATTATCAGTGATTTACTTAAACAAACACATAAACTGGTATGTAACTACGTACCAGCTTCATCCGTTGTTACTTGAATGTACACAGATGGGGGATATTCCTTCGTCTGATTGACTCTTCTAACATACACACCAAGGCTATACGATATCCCAGGGAGAAGATTCTGAAAAGTGAACATCTCTTTTCTAACCCATGACGTGTTTCTCCATGAAGAAGAATGAACATCTCTAATAAAGAAAAAAACAACATTTTTAAAGACACTAGTGAAATGAATCTCTTAACTTCACACTTAAATCCATCAATAGATCCTTCACAATCATGAAATATTAATCTTCCCATTATAAGTACTAAATCTTTACACTTTGTTTTCTATTCTATACAGATAAGTTCTGTCATCACAAAACACAATTATTATAATTGCATAATTCTTTATTCAGTACAACAGAAAATAAACAAATAGTTCATAGAAAATAACTATTCTAGAATGACTGCAATTGTAAAAAAATAATAATTATATATCCTAAACAGCTTGGGGCTTGTAACAGTTTAGATATGTTTTTATTAAATTATATTGTTTTGAAATATACCCAACAAATAATCTTGCAATAAAAACTAAATTAAACAACGAATACGTAGCTCAAGTTATGGTATTTAATGACATAATGCATGAGCTGCTTTCAAGCATACATCATGGAGAAATTTTTTTTTCCTTATCTTATCTAACATAATAAATTTAAAATTTTTACTTTTTAGTTACAAGTAACAATAAATAAAAAAACAAGAAATTTAGTACTTATTTTTGGCCTCATTTTCCATGCCAATAAAACTTAACTCTATTTTTTTATAACAATATTATCAGTAATTAAAATAATTCTTAATTGAAATATACACTTAAGAATGCAAAATAAAAACATGCACAAAGCAAACAATGTCCTATAACTATTAAAATTGAATTAGCTTTTTAATCAAGGCATAAGTGCCTTAAAATAATTTCCTTAGCTGTTCAACCTGAACTCAGCAACAGCAACTTTGAATCTTTAGGTAAAAATAACTAAAAACCTCTAATGAGAACAAGGTATCATTATAAATCATTCAATAGAAAAACACGGTCTTCCTATTCATTACAACTGATGTAATAGCAAATGTCAGAGCAAATTATAAGCATTTTGTGAAAGAGAGAATGTGATAGGAGGGTAGGGTAAGTGGATTTGACTTTCTGCTTTTAATTTCTAGAAATAAATAAGCTTCAAGGCTGTAACAAGTAGACAAGGCCTTTGTAATATTTATACTATAATACATAATTTCCGTCAAACTTAAGACAACATTGAGGGGTCAGGAAAAAATAGAAAATGGGCAAGTTGGACAAACATCATGTGAAATAGACAAGTAGCTCGTAATGTACACTGTTCAAAGTGTTGTAAGTATACAGCTCGTAATGCACACTGTTCAAATGGTTGTAAGTACATAGCTCGTAATGTACACTGTTCAAATGGTTGTAAATACATAGCTCGTAATGTACACTGTTCAAAGAGTTGTAAGTACATAGCTCGTAATGCACACTGTTCAAAGGGTTGTAAGTACATAGCTCGTAATGCACACTGTTCAAATGGTTGTAAGTACACAGGTTGTAATGTACACTGTTCAAATGGTTGTAAGTACACAGGTTGTAACGTACACTGTTCAAAGGGTTGTAAGTACATAGCTCGTAATGTACGCTGTGTTGTAAGTACATAGCTCGTAATGTACACTGTTCAAATGGTTGTAAGTACACAGCTCATAATGCACACTGTTCAAATGGTTGTAAGTACATAGCTCGTAATGTACACTGTTCAAAGAGTTGTAAGTACATAGCTCATAATGAACACTGTTCAAAGGGTTGTAAGTACATAGCTCGTAATGCACATTGTTCAAATGGTTGTAAGTACACAGGTTGTAACGTACACTGTTCAAAGGGTTGTAAGTACATAGCTCGTAATGTACGCTGTGTTGTAAATACATAGCTCGTAATGTACACTGTTCAAAGAGTTGTAAGTACATAGCTCGTAATGCACACTGTTCAAATGGTTGTAAGTACATAGCTCGTAATGTACGCTGTGTTGTAAGTACATAGCTCGTAATGTACACTGTTCAAATGGTTGTAAGTACACAGCTCATAATGCACACTGTTCAAATGGTTGTAAGTACATAGCTCGTAATGTACACTGTTCAAAGGGTTGTAAGTACATAGCTCGTAATGCACA